GTGGCTGTGCTGGTTCGCCATGCTCTGGCGTCGTGATGCGCCTGCTGGTGCGCGAGGTGAGGGTGTCGCTGTTGCTGCTGCTGCTGCTGCTGCTGCTGCTGCTGCTGCTGCAGACTGCTGGAGTTCTGCAGCTCCTCTCGGTCACTGTCGTGCAGCACGGGCTTCACGTCCTGCTCTCCGAGGGGACTCGATGGCCAGGGCGTCCCGCTGTCACCGTGAGACAGCGCCGCGATCCACTGGTGCGCGTGGCTGAGCGGATGTCCACCGCCCGGTAACGTGCTATAGTCGCTCTGGAGCAGGGTGTGCGCGTCCCTGTACGCTGCCGCCTGCTGCATGCTCCCGGACTCCGAGTGCGGCGGCTGCGCGCTGCTGGGGGTGGTGAGGACGCTGTAGTGGTTGGATGTTGCAGTCGCCATAACTATCGGAGCCAGAGTGATAGCTGGAGTTAAAAGGAGGCTGCCTTTGACAGTAACTCTTTTGCGCCACGGGGCAGCTCGGCGTCTCTCTCCAGCATCTCCCGGGCGCTGTGCCAAGGGGACGCAGAGGCGCGCACCTGTGGTCCGCCTCGCTCCGCTCTTTATTGGCCAAGAAGGGTTGACAGATGTGGTTACCCCTGACAGCACCCCGCTCATTGGTCACGGGAGATTGTACAGAAACCCCAATCACTCTGCCCAACAATACTAGCAGTCCTGCAGCATGCATGAGTACAAAGTGGAGGGAGACATCGGGTGTAAACACAGAGAAGACTAAACAAGCTCAGAAAAAATAGTTTATTTTAAAAGTACTTTTACAACATTGATCTGGGTCAGTGGGTCATGTTTATTGGTTTAATCGGTGAGTAAAAGTTGCTCAGAAAATTCAGAATGTGCACATTTATTGATATTGACCACATTTGTTTGCCAAACAAAACAAACTTCAAAATCCAAATACTTGTTCATGCTTCTGAAGTAGAATATGTGATATTGGAAGCAGTAAGCAGTGATCTTGAGGATACACTTCCAGCTGCCTCTCTGCCCTTTGGAGAGAGGGGCCGCGTGCTTCCAGGGCCTCGGCCCCGTTGCCATGGCGAATGCGTTGAATGGAACAACAACGCCCACGTCACAGCTGTAGCTCGCTCCTTCTTTTCGTTCCGTTCCAAAGGGCTCATTGGGGCCGCGCGCTCGGCCGTCGGGACACATAATGGGAGGCGGGGCGAGCGGAGAGGGCAGCTCGGGTCCAAAAGAGAGAAGGCTGCAAGAATGGATCCCTCCGCCTGCGATGCGCCCACCGTGCCTCCTTCCACCTGCTTGTTGGGTAAACTTTGAGATGGATGTACACAGTGACACGCGAAGCTAAGTTTCCCAAACGTATTTACAAAACAGAAACAGTCCTTGATTTTCAATACATTATTACATTATTTATACCTTATAATGCACAAAAATTGAAATGGCTAAAAAGGGCCCAATCTTTCAGAGGAAAACACTTCACAAATATCGACTACAGATATGGTAAGTATCTACAAGTATTGAAACACATTTTAGGGTGTATACTTTCTTTAAGTTTCCAATTTCATTCAACTTTACAATCCAAATATATATTACTTTTTATTCCACCACATTTATTTTACAGCTATAGTAACTTTACAGATTACACACCAAACATAGGATATCGCTATATATTTGATGCATTAATTAGGCAATAGTAGCAACACTTAGCTGAGCCATGACCAGCTGCATCATTCAAATGCTGCTTACTTGGTAATGCATCTAAAATAATAATCCAGCAATATACATACATTTTGCACTTTCAACTGCGTTCATTCTGTATTGTGTTCTGTACGGTATCCTGTAATGAGTTTTTTATTTCCAATGCACTGTTGTATTACTCCTTTAACCTAGTATTATTGCAACACAGTAGAGGTGTAGACACTGGTACTGCAGTTTTGTCTCTTGGCACTGTTACGAAAATCACAGAGGAGTTGGTTAGTGTAAATTCATCAAAGCATTAATCTGCTTGTCCCATCTTTAAATGAATGCAACGATAGGGAAATTAAACTAATCCTCATTCTGCTGAGCCCCCCCCCCCCCCACTTAGTAACCTACTTATTGTCCGTCGGGGTGGGTCCTCGGTACCGTACCTTTACGTCCCCGTACCTTGGTAGTTAGGTAGATGTGGTTGTATTGTCGCTAAAGGTAGGGACGAGAGGACGTAGTAAAACTAATATACACGACGTTAATTAAAGTAAAGTTAAAGTACAACCTACCAAAGGAAACAAACAATATGTCGTGTTTCTACCTTACGTAAAGGAAGGTGCAGTGCAACCTAATTTCTTGAAAATACTAAATAGTTCGCTCCGACAATTAAATTTTGGTTTGGGACGAAACGACTTTAAAACGTAAACCGTCGTACTACTTAAACCAAAACGTAAACCAAACTAAAAAACTAAAATAAATTAAATTTAAAAAAAGTTAACTGAAGGAACTTCGA